AAAACATTTGTTGAAAAAGCACTATTAAAATCACAATCTAATAATATTTCAGTTTAAAATGCATGAATTTTAAATTGTCAGTTTTAAATCAATGTCATAACATTGATTATTAAACGGTATTAGGGTAATTCCACATTAAAAGCTACAAAACATTTGTTTTGTAGCAAAAACAAAATAATTATGAGTCTTTTTAATTTGATGCCTTTGATTTAATTTATATCAATTTGCTTCTCTTTAAACATCTTTCCTAACAATTAAAAACCTGTTTCAATACACAAACCAATGTTCCCACTAGTTTCTGTGTGTTTTATCTCCTAATTTGCCAGTCTCTTAGCAGGGTACGTAATGAGGTTTTACTTGATCTGGTAAAAGTTAAATAGTCCAAACCCTCTTGTAGACATGAAGCAAATTATCACTATGTCTGAAAGTAACTACAAAGTCTCATAAAGGCTTAAATAAACCTTTTATTTAAAAAAACTTAAAACATACAGGCACATTTCCATGTTGACAAAATCAACTATAGCTTGGGGTAATCCAATTAAACAACAACAGTCAAACTAAAAATGTAGACTAGTAGTCAGACTACACAATTTAATTTTAATCTAAGCTGGCTCAATAACTCTATCGTCATAACAAATTCAAATGTTAGCAGTGATTGCGCAGAGATGAATAATTACAAATTATCAGAGTTGGCAGAAACTAAAGCAACATCCAAGTGGAGAGCAAAAACACTCTGTTCTTCAGTCCCAAAACTAGTATATGATTTGCATTATGGTGAGAAAATAGAAAGGGGAACTTACAGTAAAGGCTAAAATTACAAACAAGTGGTTAATTTGCATAATAAGAGCTGTACGTATCACCAAAGAATAATTTTCTTTCTCTTTATGGATTCAGTTTCTTTCTTCAGTTCCCCTTCACTTTAGAATTTTTGGAAGATTTCAGTTATTCTAAAAAAGAGTCCGAGTATATTTAGAATCTAAAGAAAAAGCTGATAAATATGAAATGATGTATAATAAGGGCTGGTTTTCAGGGACAATGAGGCAGAATTTTTAGAATTTAGTGACACATCGAGCAACAAAATCTAGAAATGGCAAAACTTTTACAATTTAAGACAGGCAGTAGGAGCAGAATTTAGGATTCACAAAGTTTGCATCAGGTGGAAAAATGCCTTGTGTCAGCCCTGAGCATGATCCATTGATACACATAAGGTGAATATTTTAAATTATTTTTCAATTTCTTTATTAAGGGAAAAATTTCTTTTTTATAAATGCCTGTCCATGTGAAAGGATTAGGAACATTTTTGATATTTTCCATACTTGTGTCCAGTGAAAAGTTGAGAAAATAGAGGGAAGATAAACATGTTAAGAAAAAAATTTCTAGTATCAGAAATAAAACACTCAAATATTATGTTTTCATTGTCCTTCCAAAAATCCCCCAAAATGTAAAAAAATTCACTTCCTGTAAAATACATCCATTATGTGTTACTACAATGAAAACATTTTCATTTTGTCAATTTTTTCTGGAGCCTTCTACAATTGTGGGTCTGTAAATCTTGCCTTCAAATCCTTCTAAACTTTCCAAGTTGCATTGTGTAAAATCCTAAAGAAAAATTAGCCCTACTAATTCTACAAGACAAAAAGGGCAAGAAATATTTTGGAAAAAAAAAAAAAAAATCAGTAAAGTAAACAGAGAAAACTGATAATATTCGACGTCTGAATAAGCTAGCATCATGGACATCTGCCATGAAAAATTAAGAGAGAGATTTTTAATTATCTAGAAATTTTGCTTTTGCTAGGAATTGGTTTTGTAAACGGTGGCTTATAGCATTTATTACCATTGTTTATTTTCAGATTCAAATACTATCTATAATCACCAAAATAAAAGTATGTACTTATGTGACGCAAAGAAAATTAAATTTTTTTTTTTGATGCGATTGCTAAATTAATTAAACATTTACCATTATTTTATTATTTATCATGTTTAATGTTCAAACGAAATCGTCGGAAACTTCCAATCTCCGATTAAAATTTTGTATAAATCATCTACATCGCCAAAATGATGATAAGTCATAAATTAGAACCATTCAATAAAAGATTCACATCCCCAAACCAGAAAGTTGTTTAATGCTCTTCATATATATATATATATATAATATATATATAAAAAAAAAAAAAAAAAAAAAAAAAAAAAAAAAAAGAATGGTGAAAATGCGTAGTTGACTCCTTCTCAGAAATCCGTAACCCCACCCGGTACATGAGAATAGGAACACTTATTAACCCATGAACCCATTCAAACTATCAATATTTGTCACGACTGTCAAAAATATTCTCCATTGATTTTCCACTCAAACATCAGTCTTAAAACAGACAATTTTCAGATGATTAAATTAAGGACCTCTCCAATTTTGGCCCAAATTAAGGACTTTTAAGGACCAAAAATCAATTCCAAAAAACCTAAGGACTTTTGAGGACCGTATAAACCCTGGTGAAAGTGAATTGAACAAAATCACTAAACTTGAAACAAACTTTTGACTTTCAATATTTTAAAAGTAATTTGATTTTTATAAGCAGTTATTTTGTAATGATATTGTATTAATCTGAATTCATTCCTTGGGTTTTGATTGCAAAAGTGGTTTATTTTATTAAGCAGTACAGTAAATTAGATGAAGTTTAATTAATATATGTAGCACAGTAAGATGTTAACAACATCAACAAATAATAACAATATAGTATATATTATGTCACTCCATATACAGTAAATCCTTGCCAAAAGTCATTAACAGATTGAACATATAGCGTTCTGCAAGAATAATGGAGTTTTTGAATGACTGTCATTAAGAGTTCTCTTCTTTCTTCAATTTGATCGCCCTCTCCATAACAAAATCAGACAGTTACTGCACCTTCTTAACAATTCATTTAACTTCTTAAAGGCACTTTATTTTTTCTTTGCTGTTGGGCATTACAACTACAACTGGCTCCTTTGGAAACTACAGATTTGACTGCAAGTGGAAATGAATTAATAAGGAAAACTAAACTTCTTAATATGGAGCATCTACTGAACATGGCTTGGAAATGCCCCTCAGAATGATAAAAAAGAACTGTTTTGAGCATGCCAATATTTTTAAAAATCAGGAAATGGAGGAGGTTGAGGAAAGCATTACCTCCAATTAATATGAATTGCAATGAATATATGCTATATTGGTTGGATGGATATTAATGGGAAAAAAGTCAGCTACAGCACTGATGGCAGATGAAGTATAAGCTAGTCATTTCCTACAATAAATCCATGCACATCATGTTATAGCTTTTCTGAAGATGAAAATAAAGCAATCAAATTTCCTGCAAATGCTGAGATAAAGGACACCAAAGCAATCAAATTTCCTGCAAATGCTGAGATAAAGGACACCTTCTGAATATTAAGATTAGAGATAAAGAATCAAATAATCTCCAGAAACATTATGAGCATAAATGAGCTCTTGCATAAAAGTTGCACACAACCCACAATTGATGATTTTTCCCGTTAACTAAAATGTTGTGAAAGTATTTGTATGTCTTTAGTATATTTATACTAAGTTTCACTGATACCTGATAGCATATTTTTTTATCATTTAATGTTAGCAATGAGCAAATGTGATCATATTAAGTGACCCCCAACTTTAGTCAGCATATAATGCAGCAAATAAATTCTGTGGTAAAATTGACAAAAATTTTGTATATGCTCTATAAAAATGCCAATGTTCAGAAACACAGGAAAATAACAAAGAAATGAAAAATCACTTTATTTGTGTTAACAGTACTTACAACAGCAGCATTAAAGGACATATTTTCAGAATATGTAACAGTAGCAAGTTCAATGCTGAAGTAAAGCAGCATTAAAAAAATACTAGGGAAATATAATAAATAGGGAAAAATACAAGGGGTTTATAAATAGTTAAATAACGTTTTTTCCACACAAACAATACATCATGGTATTTGAAATTGTGGATTCCATGACCATAGTCTCTCATGTCATTCATTTTCTTGTTAAAATAATGACATTTTTTAAACCACGATACAATATACTACTATGAAAGTCAGTTTCATAGAAATGTTTTTAAAAAATATGTAACAAAAAGAGGCAGATTTCCCAGTCCTGGTGCACATGTCCACCTAGACTTTTGCCATTGGTGGGGAAGAACTCAAGCTGTTTCAGCACTTTGAAGCTATGAAAATACCATCATGCTAAATAGCTGTAAGTATCCTTTTCCGTGCGTTCCAGATATTCCTTTTCTATTAAAATATCTATACATTTCTATGAGGGGGAGGAAAAGATAACTTAGCATTTTGTTAAGAAAATAAAATACTACTTACACCTAAAATTAAGATTTTCTTATATATTTAAAGAAATAGCTAATACAAAGATACAGACAGTACTTCCTTCCCTATGTACTGACATTCCCATTCACTCATATATATACACACACATATTAATCTAGAAAATTATGCATCAAAATAATAATGAAATTTCATGAAATAATCATGCTTATTTTTACATAAAATGAGCAGAAAGAAAATTTAATACCTTCATCCAATTATATTTAATCAAGTTGTTTCTAAAATGCACACATAATTTATTAATAAATGCATTAATGAAAATAGTAAATTACTAAATAAAATAGTATACATGTTCAACATCTCAGAAGTTTGATTAAATGAATATACAGTATAAAGTCCGTAATCTGGACTCGCCGGGACGATTAGGGGTTTTTCCTGGTTATAGATCATCAATTTAAATCTGGTAAGAGCATTCAGAAATTATACAATTAAAAATATGAAACCATAATTTATGAAATAAAGAGCAATTATGATCTAAAGGGTATCAAAATTTACCAATAAAAAAGCTTAATATTTATTTGTTTACTTTATTAAACATTTCTTTTAATGTAAGTTGTTTAAGTGACTTTGTTTTTTGTGCTAATACTTTCTCTTTAATTCTATAAACAGACATAATTTCTTGGTCAGTTACAAAGTTCCACTGTTCAAGTCCTGTAACTGCTGTGTTGAGAATGCCATTGACTAACTTGTCAATCGAAATTTTTTCGTTTTCAATAACAATAACATTCAATAACATTTTGTTTTCATTCTCTGTCACTTTCTACACTATCGGAAGCGGTATTTTCTGCATCTAAAACCATACTACAGATTTCGCCATCCGTTAATTGATTGATGATTCGGGCATTGTCGTCGCAATGAAAAACTTCTGATATATCATCTTCGTTTATTACCACTTCTCCACATTTCTTTACAAAATCCAATAACTGGAAAATTTCACCTTTAGTTTATGATGTCCGAAAACCTTCAAATTCACGGCTATCATCTTCATCATCCTCACCATGAAGTATGGTAGCTGTCCATAAATTATGCGAAGCATTTTTTAACATATCTGGAGACACAGCTTCCCACAATCTTGCAATGCTCCACACAGCAGATTTTATGCTAAAAAATTTCAAAAAGTCTTGAATAGTCTTGCCACTGCTCAAGAAATTTAACATAGATTTTAAAAATGCTACTTTATATTTGCATTTCAGCACGTGCACTATTCCCATAACTTTAATTCTTAATTACAGTTGACTTTCCAATGTCATACTCCTCGCATAATTTTGAGACGGATATGCCTTTACCCGTTTTTAGCAGCAATGCCACTTTTTGTTTAATGGACATCGAAACCGAATTCAAATGTTGCTCAGCTTCAGGTATAAAATGATTTTCAAACCAATCATTCATCAATGCTTGTGTCATCCATGCTCTTTTATTTGCAGGATATATAATTTGGAAAATCGTTACTCCTTTTAACGCTCGAAGTCCTGCATGTTTTCCGATTACAAAAAGTTTGCACTTGTGCGTTCCTGCAACATATGTGCAAGCTAAAATTGTTAGTCTCGCTTTGAAATCTTTGACACCAGTTGGAGCCTTTTCTGTAGAGGATGCCAAGGTATTTCGCGGTACATATTTTCAGAAAAGACCAGTTTCATCAGCGTTGTAAATTTGTTCTGGAGATAATTGTTCACTAGTAAAGAGTTCATTCAATGAATTCATCTGCAAACTGTTCAACAGCTTCAGTATCAGCTGAAATTTTTGTCTTATACCATGGCGATTTTTAAATTTGGTTAACCAACCTGTCGAATATGTGCACTCAGTATTTAAGTTCATTTCTTCATGAAATATTTTGGCTTGAGCCATTAGCATTGGACCCGTCAATGGCACGCCCTTGCTGCGACGCTGTCTGACCCATTCAATCATCACTTTGTCATGATTGTCACTTTAGCATAACAAACCCTTTTTCTGTTATTCATTGCAAGTGGGGTGTCGGAATCCACAAAAAATTCAAAAAGTTCCTTTTTCTTTTTGCTTATGTCATATACAGTTGACTTTCCAATGTCATACTCCTCGCATAATTTTGAGACAGATATGCCTTTACCCGTTTTTAGCAGCAATGCCACTTTTTGTTTAATGGACATCGAAACATGCTTTCGCTTTGTAGATCTTTTAGCAGCTCCAGAATTGGAAACTTTTTGACATATCAAAAGTTCAAAATTAATTTTTATAAAATTGCTCTAACAGTCTGGGGGAAAAAAAATTGGATCCAGTTAGAAGATTAAGGAACAGCGCAATCTGCAACATTAACTGAAATGCCTTAGAATCAGTAAAGATAATTTTAGCCTAGTTTATACCGTCCATTATACATTAAATGTGCATGCATAAAGCATACAAAAAAAAAGTTTGTGGCTTTGAAGTCCGGATTATAGATCATTCCGGATAATGGACGTCCGGATTACGGACTTTGTACTGTATTAAAGTTTATCAGTACGATAAAATGGAACAAAATTATCAACAAAAATAGCTTAAATTGAAGTAGCAATAAAATCATCAACCACATGGTGTTGCAATAATGTATTTCCTTTTAATCTCCCATACATCCGACCCATTCTTATAAGTATGGCTCAAATCCTAACAAGACAGTGAAAGCAAGAACAGAAAAGGAAGTGAAAAAGATTCATCTGGATTGAAACTGATGCCATAAATAGGTCATCCATGAAAGTATCAATTACACCGAACTCTTAATCTACTTTTACCATTTGAATCAGTTTACTTACTTCTGACAACACAGCAGAATGAGAATTTTAATAGAATTATATATAACCAAAGTGTAATAATACTTTATTAATCTGGTTATCATATGTTTCAAACATATAATAATGCATTTTATATTTACATTAATTATACATATTCATTTCTTCTTATTATAAGATTCAAGTGCATCTTTTAAAATTATTAATATTAGTTCCCTTCAGTCTAAAGTACATGTCAGAAATTGCCTTTTCCAGTTCTTTAAAACATGTCAAAGGAGATACATGCATTACCATCCACTTCATGTATCTCATTTTTAATTGCCTACGTAGAATGCTATGTACACATATTTCTCTATCACAGAAAACATGCTCTAAATCTTTATAATAATTCTTTTCTCTCTTTTCTGAAAATAGGAATTCTAACCTGAATTCATCACTAAGAGTAGTGCAAATATTCTGAAACAAGAGTCCACAGTCACACTCCTGTTAGTAGACCTCATTTCAGCAGCTTTAGAAAAATTCAGTCAAATGTTAAAGAGATCAATAATAACTTCAGCTAGACACTTATACCCACACATATATAGTAATACACAGTCATGCTACACTACAGCAAACCCAGCTTATAATCAATGAAATTTTTTGTCTTGTCCAGTTTCCTACACTTGAAATAATATTTCATATAATTACAGTAAATGTTCAAAATGGACAAAATTAGATATAATAAACTTTATGGTCTGACCCTACAGCATTTTTGATATTATTACCTAGCATTCTTACTATTTCTGACTGAAAATTTACAGCTCCTTAAATCATCCATATTTAAGCAGTAAGTATAGTGATTCTGTCAGTAAATAGGGCTATTTCTAAATGTTAGTGAAATAATGGAAATACTACATGGTACGGAATGCTTACTTTTATTAGAAAGTGTAAATCTTAGCATTTGTTGAATGAATTTACATGAAACATCGTTTTACTTGTAATATAAAGTCCACCAGTGAATCAGACAATGTGGAAAATGCTGTGTTCCATTTTTAGCACAACCATCTAAGAAGAATATTACCAGCTGGTGGTACAGACTCGAATAGCATTCAGCGTATGGTGAGGTCTCACACTGGGTGAGCAACATGCATTTGCTCTGAATGATGGTAGTATAAAAATGGTTAGAACCTCACAGAACTATGACAATCTGAGGTTGCCAGTGAAACAAAGTCAGCAGTACATTATGAGAAGAAACTTGGATTGTCCAAAATCATTTTTAGGCATATTTTACACTTCAATTTGTGCTTCCATCAATGTAAAATTTAAGTGGTGGCGAAACCTCAACGGATTTGCTCCAGTTAACTGACTAAACTTTAGGCAACAAATTTGGATTTTATAGACAGGAACAGAGGTTCTGATCAATGGACATTTCACATTCACTTTTCCCTGCATGCATCATCTCGAGAAACGGTGATATGGAACAGCCAAAGCAATCATTAGACTTAAATGAGCGTGATTTTTCTTGTAAGCTCATTTAAAGTGTTATGTATCATCCACCAACACTTCTTCCAACTAAAGAACTGAAGGTTTAGATACAGGAAGAGATTTCAGTGGACATGTTACATTGGGCTGTGAAGTTTTCATGATCAGTTAGTTGGCAGAAGTGCATGCAGGAAAACGGAGAGCACCTTCAGGATGTCATTTTTAAACAGTAACATTATCAGTGCAATAGTCTCATGCTATGTTCAGCAAATGCATATATCATAGCAGGTAGTATTTTCATGATTTCCTTAAGATTTCAAAACTGCCTGATTCACTGGCAGAACACAACCTTTCTTTGTGTTCAAATGAAGTCCATGTGAAAAAAAGTGCAACAACCCAGTCTTTGACACCAAGACAGAAAATAAGCATACCTTAATGAACAGCAATGTGTTCTCGGTTTACTTTTATTTCCAACTTTCCCAAATGGGTAAAATTCCTTATTCTCTCTCTCAAATTTATTTATTGCATCAAAAATTCATCCACATGTCAAGCTGCACACAAAGCATTCTGCATTGAAGATAAAGTAATAACTATTACAAATAAAACAAATGGATGTAATTTGCTTATGTCTGCATGGAATAAAAATTATCCAAATATGAGTAGAGTCAAATATATTCTAATACAGAGCACTTTCATATAGTTAGTACTATATGGAAAACTGCGACTCCACAGTTCTACGCATGGGTAAAAAAAAGGTTAAAATGTTAAAAATGTGGATGTGAGAAGGAATCTAGAAAAGAACAAATTTAAGGACATTAAAGCACTGCTGAAATGGTTCACCATTCACAGAAGATGCAATCTACTAATATTTGGCCAAATCAATCAAAACTAATAATTGCAAATTACTAGAGCTAGTAGGAACTAAAGCAACATGCAAGCGGAGGCCAGAAAGAAATTCTGTCTTACAATCCCATAACCTTAGTTTAAAAACCATCTAAGTGATTTTCATTCTGGTGAGGAAATGCAAAGGGAAAATTATAGCAAAGGCTGAAATTATAAACAACTGCTTAACACATAATAATAACAGTACATATTGTTGAAGAATAATTTTTTTTCTCTTTATGTACACAGTTCATTTTCGCAATATGTTTCCTTTTAAGATTTTTGGATTTAATTAAAGATTTCTGTTATTCTAAAAAACTAAACACATTTAGAATGTACTGCAAAGGGTGTAATTTTATTTCTTTAGTAATATGAAGATTCAGAATAAATATGATATAATGTATGGTAAGGGTCGGTTACAGAACCAGTGTAGCAGAATTTTTAGAATTTAGTGACACACCCAGCAACAAAATCTAGAAATGGCAAAATGTTAGAATTTAGGATCCACAGATTGCATCGACTGCAATAATGCGTAGCGCCAGCCCTGCGTATGCACAAAGCCATAGCTAAGGTTTTTCAGCATCCGGGAACAACTGAAGATTTCGTGCTCCCTTCTGCATGCCAAGAAACTTTTCATTCTAAAATTTTGTAACATCTGATTTGGCAGCCCATGGATGCTGTGCCCCAGGGCAGATATCCCCCTTGCCCCATCCTAACTATGCCACTGATGATGCCTTGAGACATACAAAATGAATCTTTTAAATTTTCAGTTTTCAAATTCTTTATTAATAGAAAAATTCATTTCTATAAATGTCTGTTTATGTGATAAGATTAGAAGCATTTTTGATATTTTCTATGCATGTGTCTAGTGAAAAGTAGAGAAAACAAAGGGAAGATAAATATGTTAAAAGACTTCTAGTATCAGAAGTAAAACATTCAAATATCATGTTTTCATGATTTTGACTTTAAGACCAAAAATCGATTATAAAAATAACCTAAGGTCTTTTAGGGACTGTACAAAGCCTGCCTTAAGCAATTTTTTGTTAACTGCTTTAACTGGAAAATATTTTTATAAATTGACACTCATATCACAAAAATAACAACAAAATTCGAGTATTAATATAATTTAGTACTGTTAATTCTCCCCCTCTACACCTAGCCCAGGGCTTAAAAATGGTTAAATTTTGAAAATTCGATAGCTGATAACTTGCTTTTGATGAAAAGTCAATCTCGATAAAAAGAACACATTAGCCACATCTAGTATATTCAGCGGTACCTTGGAATACATCTACTTTGAAACATATCCAACTTGGTAAACGTCTTGTTTGGATATAAAATTTTTTGTTTAGTATATGAAACTTGTTTGGAATACAACTTGAGTTGAATGAATCACGACTGAAAACATTACACATGCTTAGCTCTTTTGAAACAAAGCTACAACTGCTCATGAGCCTGCTGCCAGTATAATATTCAGTAAACAGCCTGTATAATAACTCTGAACTTTCAAGAGATTTTGTGCATTTCTGAGTGCAGTTTTTATAAGTGCATTAACAGTGAGTTTTAGAAAAGTTTATGAAAAGAGTCAAGCAACAAACAAAATTGTTACGATCACCATCAAGGTGAAAAAAGAGACTGAAAAGTATGAAGATAGGACGTTAAATATTAACAACTTGGCTACTGCATATTATGTGCCTAGGTATACTGTCTATGACTATGAGAAACTATTAAATCAGCTAACGTTATAAAGGAGGTGAAATTTATTATCAAAAAAAAATTAGAGATATTAGTGCATGTTGAAAATCTGCCTTTGATCTGAACAGCACAAAGACATGTATGTACAGTATGTACAATGCTTAATTTATGGACATTATATATTTTACCCGCCGCATTTGCACTTTAGCGTTAAAGTGTTATTATCATAACAATTCTTAAATAAGAATGGATTATTTTCCCTTTATTTCTATTTGGAAATATTCATTTGGTATGTGTCCAAGGATTTGGGATGAATGAATTATGTACACTCAGGTATATGTGTATTCCATTAATAGAGGGATACCATTCACAGAAAAATATAAGTTAAGTGCTCATACCACCTGATATTAAATAACAAATTTCACAATTATTTTAAATGAATGCCTAAAATACACAATAAATCAGCAGTTATTTCTTAATTACTCAGTTAGAAAAAGAAACAATAATGCTAAAAATGTGACTTAAATGTAATAAAAATATATTTATCAAGAAGGTGGCTTTTAATAATTGTTTAAATAGTTAAGATAAAACTTTACTTAAATGCTACATACTTTAACAACAGGCACTCTAGGTTTAAATCTTGAAGAAAGTTGATTTAGAACTTCAGCCAATAACTGCTGATGTTTTATCACTTTCCTCATTTTCATTATCCTAACTATTGCAGCCTAAAAGAGAAAAGCGTGCATTATTACACATGTTTGACTCAAACATATTAAACTTTTTTTAATAACAATAACAACACAAATACACTTAAATATTAATTACAGAATAAAATACAATTTAGTCAGCAGCAATAAATTATATTATCTTCACTGAAAACAGCAACATATATACAATACACTTTTGGTTGGATGACATATACATTTTGCATAAAGTTAATCATTCAAAAAAGGTTAGGCACACTTTTATAAATATAAATTCAAATTGCACTGAGGAAAGAAAGAGAAGTCACAAATAATTATCTTTTTAGTGGCCAACAATTGGAATTTCCTTGCACAAAAATTTTAACCTAAATGACAGAACTATACTTAAAACGTCGATGATATTAAAAGTAAGAAATTTCAAGAATGAAGGAGATTTAGACACATAATTACTTCAATGGAACCAAACCTTCCCACCAAAAGTTAAATTCTAAAACAAAATTCTTATTCTCTGTGACTTTATCAAGTCATCCTTCAACTCTAGCTTTGGCTTCCTTCAAAGAATATTGCCTAAAAGTATTTATTATTGTTACTCAACAACTTCTTATATTCTACATAAAGCAGATTTTAAATTATTTAACAGTTTTGTTACACACAGGCACTGATGATGGTATTATTATCTAAAACTCAATCATCCTTACAGGCAGCTAATGTATTAAAGCAAGCAAAATAATCTACTTTAGAGAAGATTTATATTCTAAAGCTCATTTTACTAAACATCTAAAAAAAATCCTGTATGAAATCATAACTGTAACTTTACAGCAAATATTATGCACTCAGATATATTGTGTGAAATAAAATACTGCAAACATTAAAAATATGAAAATTCAAATTTTTTTTTATTTTACCTGAATAAGTAGCTTCCTGTCTTCTTCAATATGTTTATGTGTAGTTTCCTGTTCAATTTTCATTTCTGTTTTCATTGGAACATTAATATTGACTCTTAACTTTTTGTTTTTATATGCAAAGAAAAGCATTACTGTGGATGAAGGTTGCAAATCACTTTCATCATCTTCACTAGTTAAAAGTTTTGATTTTAATAATATCTGTACAACTTGTATAAGAATATCCTGCAAAAAAAAAAAAAAAAAAAAAAAAAAAAAAAAAGTATATGTAAACCATAAATAAGCAGTTATAATAATAATAAAAATCATAAGTCAGTTTTTATAGAGCAATCTCAACTGTTGTTTCAGATTTTCTTACATAGTCTTATGTTTCATAGTAAATTCCTCCTAATACTTCTCCTTTCTGTAAGTAATTGGTAATGATTCCTTTGGAATCCCTTGATATAATGTGAATAAGCTGTCAGTATTGGCTGAAAGTCTATTTGAGCTCATTCGAAGAGTATAATATTCCATCAACAATTTAATTGCAGCACAACTGAATAAAAATAGCCTTTTGAAAAAGCAGATTCGTGCTTGCAGATTTGAAAAGCCTAAGAACATCTTTAGCTTTAAAATGGAATTATAAAGCCCAACAATAACTTGCACACAATATTTTAATGCAGTGTAATTACAGGAAAGATCCATGCAAGATGAATTTAATATGCAAGACAATCAGGTCCTGACCGAAATGATAATATTTTCTGCTTAACATGAGAGATTAATTAGTTAACATTGAATTTTACATTGAATGGAATCTTTTGTAAGCAATTTGAAAAGAAATCATTATGTTTAATCTCGCAATATTTTTATAAAAATAAACAAAAACAAGCACTATAGCATTGAAGAAACACTAAACAGGCTTATACAGTACTTTCATAACATACGATCAGGACTGAAAAAGACTTATGGGCTGTTCGCACTAGGATTTTATCTAAGCTAACGGAAACATCTGACATAGTCAATGCAGTTCCAAAACCAGTTTTTCCTCACAGCGGAGACAGCTGAAAACTCTACTTGATATATAGTGAAGCTAATCAAAACATGGAACTGACTCCATTAGCTCAGATAAATCCCAGTGTGAATGGCTCCAAACCATTGAGAACCATCCAAACCATTGAGCTAAACTTCAGAGATTATGGTATTTTATTGCGATATCTAAAATCAGACCTTGCATCAGATTTTTGTAGATGGTTTAATTCCTTCTCTATCTTTTCTTTATTGATCTGCAAAAATTTCCATAAAAATGAATGCCTGCACTTTAAAACCTTTTTGTTAAAACAGATTTTTTAGCTCAATTCCAAGAACAGAACTGCCAAGTTGTTTTCAATAATACTTAAACACTAGGAAATTTTGTTTGATGTTGATCCTGGTACAGAAAAACAAAATCTGGAAAGATCCTGATTGAAAATTCTAAAAATAACTTAGAGGATCTCTTACGCTGTAGCACTGATTAACATAAAGAGTCCCCCCCCTTAAAATGCACGCAAAAAAGTTTAAAAAAATCTAATACATGATTAAGCAGTTTAATAAAGGGATTTTATATCACATGTTTTTCAGATATGTAAGTTGAGCCAATCCTTCTCAGAAAATCCTCTATGAAGGAATCCCTTCCGTTAAGCTGATAGTCCTCGTGTGATTTGGGCCCAATTAAACCAAAATCTTCATACAGCAACCCCCAGACAGCTACAAAAATACTATCAAAATAGAATACTACAAATTTACCCTACTTTTAAATTCTTCTCCTCATGCCTCTCAAATATTTCAAAATTTTATCTAAATATGCATCACCACATTATGTTTATGATATGTTTTTATCTTATTATCCATTCTCAGATTTGATTTACCTGTAAATATTTCTATCTTATGCCTATCTTTCACTATACACAAGGCCTACTTTAAGAAATCAATGAATTTTTTTCCCATGCTCATTTGAGTATCATGCATTTTATTTTTCTAAAGAATAATTAAATATGCTCCAGCTGCTGATCAAAAGTTTAACAGTTCACAATTACTGTGGAATTTGATCAAAACAGCTTTCAAGTAGCTTTTCAAGTATAATAAACAATACAGTGCAGAAATTTTGAAAGCAAGACTACTCTCAATTTAGTGGGGAGAAGGGGGTAAAGAATATTGCAACTACCTTTAATTTACTCAAAGTAACTACCTTTGGAATTTACCCACTGCTCTGTATGATCATGAAGTATGTATAATGATTATTGAATACCAGTTAAATGACTGCCATTTAGAATCACCATCTGTTTCCTAGATGATTCCCACATTATCTAAATTGCCTCCTATTTTAAAACACATATCTGGTGAATAAGTAGGATGTTTGAAAAGTTCAAATTCAACATTTTTCTCCCATTTACACATCAAGCATATCAGCAAGCATTAATCATGGTGAAGCTCAGAATAGATTTTTTTATGTTACTAATTACTCTGGAATACCTTATTTTTCAAAATTACTAATTTAAATTGAAATACTCTTGCTGCTAATAATTCAGAAGGCAATTACTAAAAGATATTTGCTACATGAATTCCAACTATTTTGTTTGCTTCAAATCAATATTTTCTCTGTTGGTGATATTGAAATTAACTGAAATGAAGAGGTGTCTCTCAGAACCAAAAATTTTTAATGATCACTTGAGCAAAGAAAATTAATGATACAGCTATAAGTTATGATTAAAAAAAGGAAAATAAGTAATTGTTACTATGCATTCTGCAGCCTTGACTGATCCGATCAGCTGAAACCATGACTCATAGCTGTTACACTGAATAAAAGACAAAGTGCTTAACTAATACCAAGTTCACAGAGCAAGAGCTACACCATACCAGTTATTTAATTTATTGTTATTAAGAATTTCTTGTAGGTTTGACCAATTGTACAGAACTTCGAGCAAGAAGACTGAAGAAATATAGAAACTATTTTTTCGTTGAACCAGAGGAAAATTCAGAATAAGATTAAATCAGAAAAATGCAAAAGTACGGAAAAATAGTTTTAGTTTGATTAACACTAAGAAAAAGCAAGTAAATAATAAAATAAAAAATAAAAAAAATAAATAAATAAAAAAAAACAGAAAGGAATTAATGATGAAAGAAAATATAAATGCAGACAAATTGATAAAATACTTAAATTCTAATTTTACGTGCATCACTGTGACCAGTAAACACCATATGCAGTATGCTTTCTGTTTAAAAATATTTTTTACACAGTTTATGCCGTATAGCAAACTGAGATAACAAATAGAAAAGATTTATCAGAATTGTGTAAAAGCCAAGACAATGGACTTCATTCACGTTACTTTATGCAATAGCATAAAATAAGATTCAATGAATTATGATATTCTGACATGAGTAGCTAAAACAACTACTTTGGTACTTTTATAATACTAGACACTAACTTAACAATCAATTGTTAATTTTACGCTACGACTGGAGTTAGCTTTACGAGTTAATAATTTTCTCAGGAGTTATAATAAAATTGTCAAAATTTCTTCCTATGTAAACTCTGCAATAAAGGCAAGCATTCAAAGCTTAAGAAACTAATTTACCAGAATATACCTTCTGCAACAGAAAATTTTGCACTTCAAGAATATTTCAATCTTAAATTATGACATATTTATGCAATTAGTTTATGTTGGACTAAAAGAAAAGCATAACTAAAGATCAACATATATATTTTTTAGAATTTAGTAATTTTCTGTAATTACTTAAAACATAAAATTTCTTAAACCCAATTCTACATAATTAAGAAGCTCAGTTTTTTACTTGAAATAATAATTGTGGATAATACTAGTTTAGATTGATATTTAATATACAAGTTATTAATTGTGCATTACATTCATAATTGTTCATATTTAATATCAAAGATATCATTATATATTCACCAAATGCAATTATAGGAATTGTCCTGAATATTTTCTATTTCTTCTTATACTTTAAAATGTTCAACACCGATTCTAATTTGAAAGAGCACTAAGAAGCCAGATGCATCATTCTGCCACTAAAAATATTACCATAAATTTCATACAATACCTATTTTTGTGCTACTATGTTTATATATTTCTTCATAAAATTCTAAATTATTTTATATTTCATTCTGTAACAAAGAACTTCTTTCATCTATACTTTAAACATTTCTCTGAGAAAATATAGTATGCAATGTGGCAACTTAATGGCTTTAAATGTCGACTAGTGGCTCAGAGAGTTGACTCATTGAAACCAGGACATTTTTCCATTTTCAATCTTCTGAACATCAATTAAAATTTATTTCAGGTGAAAATTAACATTATTTTTTTAAAAAATTGCTTACTTATTATATAACTGAAATTTATTTTCCCCATAATTTTATGCCCTCTGCCTCATTCAAATATTTTTTCAAATAAATTTTTAAGTTTTCACCTTCTGAGTGGCAGGATTTTCACTATGAAAGCACAAATTTCCAAAAACTACTATGAGAACAATTTTTTTTATTTTAATATAAAAACTCTCCTGGTATGAAATACCTGGATTTGTGTACTTTTGATATATTGCATTAATTTCTTTGACATATTTTAATATGCAAGTATATATATGTTCTTACAGATATCACCAAAAATATTCTAGAATTCTTGCCGCTATTCTAAATTCTTGCCACTTAGAGGGTTAACTGCAGTTCTGTATATTAATTTTTGTTATTGAGTTTATTAGATTTTATGTTTTGTTTATCAAAACACATAATTTGAATTCAAATCATTTCCGGTCGTACAATTTCTGTTCTGTTGAAGCATAATTTATATGCTTTACACAAGCTTGCTGATTTTCCACTTTTGCTTTATATTTTGCATTTGTAAATAGTCTTAAATTACAATTTTTCTATATAAATTGTTGTATACCGAATAAGATAATAAAATAATTTGAAAATACACTCTTCGCTCTGTTGGTTGATTCCAAGCTCTTACCTAATAGCCCAATTTTAACAACCTTCCTTTATCTTTGCATGCAATGTGCAGTGCCAAACAAGTGTTCAAAGACGGGAATATGAACTTAGTAATCAACCTTATGATTTCAGGGATCTATTAA